TTTCACACACTGTCTTTCTTGGCTTTCTGTGTTTTATTTCCTCTCTTGAAAGGTTCACTCTTTTGAAGTCATCCCCAGAGTTTGCACAGCCATCATCTATTAAAGTTTACACATCATTTTTGAAAACATCTATTGCTCTTAGTCAGGAGCCTGTGATAATTTAGCTGTCAGTGTTTCACACAACTTCCTTTGCACAATCCCATGGAGCTTGTTTTCTTGAAGTCAATTTGCAATTGTTAACTTCTGTATTGAATTTTTCTCTTTTGTTTTGGGTTTTCCTCTTCCCTCTGCGTGTACTTTGTTAAGATACCTCTACTTTGTTCTTTCTAAACCCTGGTAAATGGGACACGAAATGCTGTGCTGGGATTTTGGAAGTGTCCAAGGCCAAGTTGGATTTGGTTTGGAGCAATTTGGGGTAGTGGAAGGAGTCCCTGCCCATGGAATAAAATCAGCTTTATGTCCCTTTCAACCCAAGCCATTCTATGGTTTAATGGTTCTGAGATTGCATGAAGTGTAAACTGGCTTATAAAACTGTTCTCCTGGAGGGAAAATGCTTTTAAAATAATTTTAAAATCATCCCACTCAACCCAGGATGTTTGAGTGTTGGTTAAATACCTGGGAACCTCATTTTCAGTGTTTTTGTGAATATTTTTTGTTCAAAGCCTCCTTTTTGTTCAGAGTCCCCCAGAAAAGAGCTGAGTTTTGGATAGGAGAGATTTTCCTTGTCAGGGCTGCAGTCTGTGGGCTTTGTTTTCAGACTGGGGGGACTGTCTGAGCTTGGGATTTCTGCTTTTCTCTGCCTTGAATCATACCCTAAACTCTATTTAAAGATTTTGGGTTATTCCTATTAGTTATTATTATTTATATGTATTCTCTGGTCTTGGACAGCGAGGAGTGCCCTGAGCAGGCTGAGCAAAGCAAAATCTCTCCTTAATGCTCCCTCTTGGGGGTTCACCTGGGGCTTCTTTCCTCCAGGGATGGGGAGGGAATTGTTGAGTGTGGAAAACTCAGAGTGTGCTGGGCTTGAGGGAGATGAGGGAAGGGCCCACTGTGCAGAGGGAGAGATGAAAGGAGGGTGCTGAACTTTGTAATTCCCCCTCAGTGTGTCTGCACAGGTTGGAGCTTGCAGGGGTTCCATAAATTTCAGGCTGCAGTTTGGGGCTGTTCCTGAAGGAGGGAATGGAGGGAATGCTGATGCCAAGGGGTGGAGCAGGTCCCACAGGGGTGCTGCAGCCTGGCCAGGTCAGCTCAGCACATTCAGCACACCCCACTCAGGGGTCTTGAGCCAGATATCCACACTGCAAAGTGATTCGGGCTGCCCGGAATCCTGATGTTCCTCTCTGGGGTAAACACGGAGCTGGAACATGCTTTACCTCATCTCTATCAAAAACTCACATTTTATTGCTGGAAAATAGCAAAAAGTTGCTTGAATGTGTTTTCTCTTCATTAAAAATCCTGATTGTTTCTAAATCATAGAGTGAGATTTGATGACTACTCAGCGAAGCCCTGTTCTCATGTGATCCTCAGCTGTGCTCTTTCACTGATGACACATTTCATTTTCAGCCTTTAGAATTTTACTCTGTACTCCCTGGCATATGTGAAGCATTCATAACACAGCAAACCCTGTGGTTTGCATAAAAAATCTCCTCCAGGTCCTCCTGAGCAGCGTGTTTTGGTCCATGTGTCTGTAAATTAACCTCAGTTGTGTGTAGAAAACAACTCATGTGGGGCTGCCTTGGTTGGTTGGCAGTTTGGAGGCAAGAAACTTCTCAGAATCCCCTCAAGGTGCATTTCTATTCTTGCAAGTTTATTTAGAAGATAAACAATCATTATCTGGTTGAATCACAGATGTTAATTGGAAGATGCAAAGCCTGGCTGGGTGAGCACCAGTTTTGGAGCTGTTGTTGTGGAAATTCAGTTTGCAGGTGTTCCTGTGCTAGGGAGGAGATGCAAAACTCCCAATTCCATTGGATTTACTGAAAGCGCAGTCTGGGAAATCAATCTGTGGGAATTTGTGGCTTTCCCCCCACCTTATTCTTCCTATTATTGCTGACAATAATAGTGGGACTTGCAAGTGTGGGAATCCTTCCTTTCTCCTGAATAGCCATCATTTGCATGTGAAATTTAAGGAGCTTGAATGGGAGAGCAGGTATTGGAAGGAGCAGGTGCATTCAGATAATCTGCCCAGGTTGTGCAGGCTGGGGTGGGGCTGGCAGCTGCTTCATTTTCTCCTCATTCTCTGACTTCTCCTCTCTTTGCCTGGAGCTGTGTTTGGGTTTGCCTCAGCCAGGTGTGCTGCGGGACAGAGGAGATGTGAAAAAATCCAAATTCACTGCTTGGTTTGGAAACCAGACTCTCTTGACAGTCATTTCACACACTGTCTTTCTTGGCTTTCTGTGTTTTATTTCCTCTCTTGAAAGGTTCACTCTTTTGAAGTCATCCCCAGAGTTTGCACAGCCATCATCTATTAAAGTTTACACATCATTTTTGAAAACATCTATTGCTCTTAGTCAGGAGCCTATGATAATTTAGCTGTCAGTGTTTCACACAACTTCCTTTGCACAATCCCATGGAGCTTGTTTTCTTGAAGTCAATTTGCAATTGTTAACTTCTGTATTGAATTTTTCTCTTTTGTTTTGGGTTTTCCTCCTCCCTCTGCGTGTACTTTGTTAAGATACCTCTACTTTGTTCTTTCTAAACCCTGGTAAATGGGACACGAAATGCTGTGCTGGGATTTTGGAAGTGTCCAAGGCCAAGTTGGATTTGGTTTGGAGCAATTTGGGGTAGTGGAAGGAGTCCCTGCCCATGGAATAAAATCAGCTTTATGTCCCTTTCAACCCAAGCCATTCTATGGTTTAATGGTTCTGAGATTGCATGAAGTGTAAACTGGCTTATAAAACTGTTCTCCTGGAGGGAAAATGCTTTTAAAATAATTTTAAAATCATCCCACTCAACCCAGGATGTTTGAGTGTTGGTTAAATACCTGGGAACCTCATTTTCAGTGTTTTTGTGAATATTTTTTGTTCAAAGCCTCCTTTTTGTTCAGAGTCCCCCAGAAAAGAGCTGAGTTTTGGATAGGAGAGATTTTCCTTGTCAGGGCTGCAGTCTGTGGGCTTTGTTTTCAGACTGGGGGGACTGTCTGAGCTTGGGATTTCTGCTTTTCTCTGCCTTGAATCATACCCTAAACTCTATTTAAAGATTTTGGGTTTTGTATTTATTTTCCACATCCTTGACCCTGACTGGCGAGCTGGACATTTGTGTTTGCCTTGGCACGCTCTGAGCTGCTCATCTAGGGCAGGATGAAAACTCTTTTTTTTTCCTTTTGTAAACAAACTGTTCCTCAGGATTTTCCATAAGGATTTACACCACCATTTTGTGCCTCTTCTAGGAACAGAGAAAACCTTGCCATTCAGAGTTTTCCTTTTACACAGCAGAGAAATGTTTGATTTTATGTCTTTCCCCAGGTTGGATTGGAAGAGCTTTTTTCAGAACGTTTTTAAATTCCAGAAGCAGTCCATTTTTTCCCCTCTGAGGGTTTATTAAAGCTATAGGTCAATAGGCATTGTTGCCTGTCTAGAAAAGGGGTTATTTGTATTTTTTATTTGTCTACCCACTGCAGTGAGAACAGTGCCCCATTGTCCCAGGCACTGGGTGCATGTAAAATACTGCTTTGTGCCCTGAAGAATTTACAGCCTAAAGAGCTGCTCATGCTCTGCTGCCAGGGGGGTTGGATATATTTTAGTGGCCAGGATGTAAAATGAGAGAATAACTCAGCTGGCCACTTGATGCCAGCACACAAGTTGTGTTTTGGAACAGAGGAACTGAGTTTTATTTCCCCTGGGACACAGAAATGCTGCTGCTCCTTTGGCCAGGGATTTCTGGGGCGTGTGCTCTGGAAAAATGGCATTTTTGTGCTTCTCCTCCAGACCACTTGTCATGTGTCATCTGCAGCACTCCACAAGTGTTGCAGATAGTTTGGCAGGTTTGAAATGCTCCAGTCACAGATGCAGTTTCATGTATCATAAACCTGGTGTTGCTGGTATTAAATCCAGCTGGAGGCTCAGTGCCCGTGTTAGTCCTGAGCTTAAACCCTGCCAGGTACAAAGAGGGGCTTTGCCATGAGCTAAACTTCTGAAATATCAGGGAAAAAAAGTGGTTTAGGAGCATCCCTGTTTCTCAGGAAGGAAAAGCTTGGAGGATGTAATGAGAATATTTTCTCCCCCCAGATAGCTCTGCAATCCCTGGTGTGAATTTCCACCTCTGCACCTCAGTGTGCTCACAAGGACACCTGGATATTCTGGGGAAATACTCATTTTTCCCCCACTCCAGAACCATTTACTGGCCAAGGGCAAGTCAGAAAGTAAAAGTACAATGATGTTACACAGCAGGAAAAAATGCTGTAGTTTAATTCTTTCTTAAGCAGTAGAAAGGTACAAATTCCCACATAACTTCTTGTCCTTAAGGTGCTGTTTATGAGATCTAATAGCTAGGTGTCAAATGACCAATTAATGCTTCATCAATGTCTAGAATTTCTCTGCAGTGTTTAGTAAAATAAGCTGTTTATTAGCAGTGATTACTCACGTGAAGTGTGTGCCAGTGAATCAGCAAACCAACCCAAAATGGCTGGGGCTTGATCTGAGCCTCACTGTAAATGATAATAAAAATCAAATAGCCACATTTATCTATTATCTATAAATGATAATAAATAGCAAATAACCAAATTGATTTCTTTTCTGTAAATGATAATAAATACCGATTAGCCAAAGTGACAAACCCCAAAAAGTAGATGTTAAAAATACCCCCAAGATGACAAATAATTATTGGTGTGTGGTTGTTAACAGAAGTGAAAAATACTGACTTTTCTGTAATGTTCCATTGGTGCTAGTCAGCAGTTCATAAAATGCTATTTATTATTGCTTTTAAACAGCAATGTGAATTTTTCAGAGTGTTTTAAGAGCATATTTCAACTGCACAAGCTAAAATTCCTTTTTTTGTTGCAGATCTGGGACATGAGTGATGATGAAACAGTTTGAAATCAGGTGCTGAGGAGGAGGAGGATGCTCTGGAGTGCAGCCCTGCCTTTTATCTCTGCTTTGAGGAGTTAATGATTGCTTACCCCTCCTGGCTGCTGGAAAGACAAACAAACAGAACCCACGTTTTGCCATGAATAACTTCTCTGGAAAAGCAGTCTCTCATGGACAGAACTCACCATGTTTTCATTTTATTGTGTAAATAACTGCAGCAATGTGTTTGTCTTTAAACCTGGTCTGTCTTTTTTTTTGTGGGTTTTTTTCTTTTTTTTAAGCTTCTAAATATGGCTTACATATAAAAAATGCTGCTTAAGTAACTCTGGGTGGTTTGTTTGGGCCAGGTTTTATTTTGCTTCTCAGTGGCCATGTCCAAGCAGCATTTCTGAATGGCTTTTTTCATCTCTCTCAGATTTGGGGCACTTCAGGTGGAATTTGTGAAGGTTGAGCACTTTCTGCTCTTGGGAGTTAAATTTAATGTTTAAAGGTGGGGAGGAGTGGGGAAGGAGCTGAACCTTCTACCACAGGAATTATTTGCAAACACAAATTTCAGGTGCAGATGTTCTTGATGTGTCCATGGAGTTGTTATTCCCTGTGAAGATCCCATCTTTTCATGCTATGCAAACAAAGTGCTTTGACTGATTTTTGCCCAGGAAAGACCAAAATGCATTTATATCCTGATTAGGCTCCCCTGAAGCTCAGAGAAGGTTCTGTTCTGTGGTAAAAAATCACTTTAGGAGGTGGTGGGTCATTGATTCAGTCAAAACCTGCAGGGAAATGCTTCAGTGAAATGAGAAATTTGTTCCCTGACTTTGCTGTTCTTGGGTGTGGTCATGCAGAACCTTGCAGGTGTTCAAAAAGAGGAATTCTCTTTTCCTTTTTGGTTCATTGAATTTTTTCAAGTGGCTTAATAAGCAAAACCAGAAGTTTGAAAATCCTTGAGTTTAAAAAAATAGCTTGAGAAAATGGAGTTTTAAAATCTCAGAGTACATTTTACTGCAAAATTGAATCTATTTGTCTTAACTTGGAACAGGTTTTAGAAGGAAATTTGAAATCCCTTTCATAGCTTTATATCGTGGGGTTTATGAGTTAACTCACTTAGAAAAAATGCAAATCACTTTATCTGCCAAGCAGCCTCTATTTCCCAGGTATATTATGAAAATTAGTTGGTCAATCCAATTATTTTAGCTCCTTCCTTAACATAAGCTCTGAAGACTTTTTTTTTTGTAGAAAATTTCCCAGTTTCTCTCTCATCAGAACAAGTTCAGTCAGGTCAAAATATGCAACTCCCATCTTCTGATCAGAAATGATTTATTGAAACCTGCTGAGGTTTGCACCAAGTGTCTAAAATAACCATTATTGTCTAAAATAGCCATTATTGTCTAAAATAGCCATTATTTCTATTTATTTATTATCATAGTCATTGTATTTACATCATTTATTACCTAGGGAAATGTCTAGCTTAGGTAACTGAAGTGTAATATAAAAATATATATGAATGCAATATATTTTGAAAATCAGAGCTGGATATCAGAGCAAGTCATCTCTTGGTGGTCAGGCACTGAAGACTGAGACTGAAACCCTGAAATCTGCATTTTTAAAGCAGTTTAAATACATCATGGCTTTGCTGGCATGTTTTTAACCATGCCATAGTCCAGCTGGAGCCACTTAGGTAACTGAAGTGTAATATAAAAATATATATGAATGCAATATATTTTGAAAATCAGAGCCTGGTAAATGAGCAAGTCATCTCTTGGTGGTCAGGCACTGAAGACTGAGACTGAAACCCTGAAATCTGCATTTTTAAAGCAGTTTAAATACATCATGGCTTTGCTGGCATGTTTTTAACCATGCCATAGTCCAGCTGGAGCCACAAGTTGGTGCCAAGACAGTTTAAAGGGAATAATCTGCTTTTTTTATCTTTGGGAGCTGCTGACCGTGGAGTGTAAATGGCTCTGCAGTTTGGGGTTATCTAAGACTTGAAAGCTGCACATCTTTCTGAGCCTGGTAAACATTAATAATTGTTTTGAGTGCCTGAAACTCTGCCTGGGAGGTGTCTGTGCAGGGCAGGGAGGGTTCAGGCTCAGGGTTAGTGCCATGTGTCCTTCCCTCTGTCACTGCAGGGCCACCAGCTCGGCCAGGCTGGGCTCTTTCCTGGCCAGCTGCTCCCCTCATGTCCCTGATGTGCAGAAACTCTTAAGTCTGGCTTGGAATGTCTTCCCTTGTCTGACTGAAATGTTGGTTTTGTTCTCCTTGTGGCCCAGAATTGTTCTTGTTCCAGCAGAGCTGCTGGAATTGTTTCCTCCTTGGGAGGGAAGGAAGGAGAGAAGCTTCCATGTCTGTGCTCTGGAAGCATTTGAGCTCTGGGTTTTGGTGTCCTGTCTTCCTTCTTTTCTTCTTTTCTTTTCTTTTCTTTTCTTTTCTTTTCTTTTCTTTTCTTTTCTTTTCTTTTCCTTCTCTCCCCACATCCCCATTGCTGCAGGCTCCCTGCAGCAGGGCTCTCAGTGACTCCCACATTCATTCCCATTCCCAGTCCATCTCCATTCCCAGTTCACCTCCATTCCCAGTTCACCTCCATTCCCAGTCCATCTCCATTCCCAGTTCACCTCCACTCCCAGGGGCAGACTTCCCCCACAGTAGCAGGGAGGGATTCTCTAAAGCAGGCTGTTGGAAATTACTGCTTTTACTGAATTTCTGGGCATTTACGGAGTGAATCCATTCCAATGAATGAATATGTACATTCAAATATTAATGGCAGAAAAATACATTTATTTGCTGCCTTGTATACACTTATACAGGATTTCTGCCCAGAGCCCAGCTCCAGTGCTTGCTGTTTACTGGGACAAGCTAAACTTTCCTTTCTTCATGGAGGAGCTGGGATTTTACTGTTATTGGTGCTGCCAGGAGCTCCTCCACCATGGCACCAGAGAAAAGTACTGAATTTTCTCCATTGGTGCCAGTCAACAGTTCATAAAATGCTGTTGGTGATTCCTTTTAGACAGTAAATATGAACAATTAACAGTGAAGAACCTGAACTTCACTGGGGAGCCCAGCCAGGGCTGTCCAGGTGTGAACCAAACCTGTTGGGAAGAGGGCATGAGGAGCCTCAGAGGATCCTGCTCTCATTATTTCATTATCTGATGGGAATACACTGGCATTTTATGGCAGCCTGCAGTGTGACACCCCCGTGCCTCATCTGGGGACATTTCATTCTGTTGGAAGGTCTCAGTGGAGAGCTCTGACACCACTTCTGTACTTGAGCATTAAAGAAACTGATGGAATGAATGACAGCTTCTGTTGTGATTACCCACTTGTGCCAGCTGGAATTTTGCTTCTCCACCACCCCTGCAGTGTGTCCTGCTGGCTGGGGTTTAGAATTTGGGAACCACATCCATCAGAGTGAGGAGTGTGAGATTCTGTGGGAGTTCCCTTCCCTGGAGCCCTGCTCCTTGGGGATGGATTTCCCTCAGGGACACCTGGCACTGTCCTGGTGCCATCACAGCTGTGGCCAGAGCCCTTCAAGAGTGGCTGCTCTGAGCCTGGAGCCTTCAGCTCTGGGATATTTGCCCAAAAGTGCAAATCACACCGAGATGCAGGGGGGAGGGTCCATGTGGCCCCGACAGGCTGGTGGAGAAGGACCCACAGGAGCTCCATTCCCAGGATGGCTCCAGGACCAAGGACCTTCTGCCTCAGTAGAAGGCAGCAGCACTGGAGGTGTTTTGGCACAACAAAGGAAACTGCAGTCACTGTTCCACGCCTTTAAATCATGGAGTTTGATCTTGGAAAAATGCTTTCCCTTCCCTGTGTCCTCAGAGAAGCCCAGTGAGATAAACTAAAGTTCCCATTTTGTCACTTTTGATATTCTTACCCAATTTCTGCATGTCCCTGTCCATGGCAGAGGGTGGCACTAGATCCTCTCAAAGGTCCTTTCCAACCCCTTGACATTAAATTATTCTAGTCTTGTTTCTTTGTAGAAATTCTGGCTCACCTTAAACAGATGCCACAGAAGTATTTGCAAAATTGAGTGACTCTGCCATCTATGAGCAATTTATTTTAGTTTTTCACTTGTGCTCTTCTTTAGAAAACTCACTGAGGTGGAGTTTATTTCTGAGCTCTGCTCTGTGGAACCATTTGCTAACACTTGTTTCTCCCTCTTAGTGAACCAGTTCTTCCTGAATATCTGTTAACTTGCCTGACTGGGGTTGGTGATGGAATCAGAGAAGCATTTTGTTGGAAAAGACCCTTCAGATCATCAAATCCAAGGGTTCCTGCAGCCCTTCCACTGCTCTGGGGCTGTGCTGGGCCATGAAGAACTCGCCCAGCTCCCAATTTCCCTTTGAGTTTTTCCCCTTTTCCAGCCACACCATAAAAGCAGTGAGATTCTGAGATGGGTTTTGGGAACAGACTTTGCTGTGCAGGATTCTCCCCGAGGCCAGGGATGGGTGAGGTCACTGCTGCTGCTCAAGGACACTGCCTCTCACACAATCCATGAGTTTATTTTTAACTCCTCTTCAAACAAAGAAGAACCAAATTTTAAGAGTTCCAGGCGAGTCCCAGCTCTCGATTCTTGTGGGAATAGGAAGGATTGCTCACATCCTTGCAGAAGAAAATCCATTTCAGGCTGGCACAGCCCCAGCCTGTCTGCTCCTTCCACGTGCTCCAGGCCACTCTGGTGTCCCTGGCTCAGGGATTGCTGCTCTGGGACTTTGCATTCAGGGTGCACACAGGGAAAGAGAGCAGGAGCAGCTCAGTGGTGGGACTTTACTGCCAGATTTTGAATTTCTTCTTGAAATAACAATGCAAGGCTTTCCTTAGAAACAAGTAAGCATTTATACTCCAAAGAGAGCCATTAAAGAAGAATTTGCAACATGGGAAATTTTAGCTGACTTCATAAGAAACAGAGCCTGGAAGATGTCTCCAGCCTGTTACCATTTGGCTTCCTTAATTCCTTTTTTCTTTTTTTTATTTCATTTTCAGTGCAGCTGATGTGCTCGTGCATATCCTGCCAGAATGAGACTTTCCTTCCAGAGGCTGTTGTGCACCTTTGCTCTTGCAGAGCACCTGGATTAACTGTTTTCAAAGGCACAAATACTACACTAGGAGGACTTTGGACTGTGCCAGGGTGTAAATTCCCAACCCATGGAAACCCTGCCTTCCTGCCCCATTTCCAGCTCTCCTTCCCTTGCAGCTGCCTTCTCCAGAGGCCAAAAACACCACTCAGGCCATGCTTTAGGTTTGAAATCCATCTGGAGCTGCCCTCTCTGTTGCCTCTTCATCTTTCCAGGACAATAATTTCTGGAAAGTTCATTTTCTTACCTGTGCAGCACTTGGCAGGTTTGGAAGTAAAAATACCCTAACAGCTTATTGAGGTTTTTTCCTCTAATTTTACTTTTATTGGTAATTTGTCAATAACCTCTCTGGGCTTTATTCTCAGTTCTCCTGGGTCAGAACTGTTGTTTTGTTGCCATGCTGAGGGCTTACTAACCAGGCTGTGCCTCGTGCTCCCCTTTCTCTTCAGGCAATGCTCATCCTTCCACCAGCCCGGCTTGGAAAGGAATGCCTGGAATGAGTCACTTGGGGATTATTTTAACCAGGCTGAAGCTCCTCCCAGAAGAATTAGCAGCTGTAAACTGGAGTGGCAGCGCTGTGCTCAAGCACCCTCAGTATTCCATGACTTAGGGCAGCGGTTTTCTCACCTCATTTCCCAGCCCGGGTGATCTCACCCCAGGATGAGGGTGCAGGTGTCTGCTCCAGCTGTATTTAAGTTCAAGCTCTAATTGCAGCCTCACTAATTACATTATCAGCCTGTTGTGACTCAAGTGCAGTGGGATTATTTGGGATAGATTTTCAGAACCCACCAGTTATTTGTCAGAATTTAACCAGCACAGGTTCCTTCTGCTTAATCAAGACAGAGCTCCCTTGCCATTGGAGCTCCTTGGGTTTAGGGAAAAAAGGACAATCAGGAGTTCTAAAAACAGCCTGGGCTGTGTTTCCTGGCTGGCAGGAGCACCAATCCCTCCATCCATCTCCCTAAATGCCTGTTTCCTCCTGCTCCTGCCTGGATGTTTGTGTAGCACATTGATAGGAAGCACAATGGGCTTTGTCTCTGCAGTGAAGGTCACATGCACACGTGCCTTTCATTTTCAATGCAAAAATGTCAAATGGCTTCTTGACAAAATATTGTAGAGAGCTAACAGGAAAGGACAGGAGCAGCTGTACAGTGCTGCTCCAAATCAAAGAGTTTTCAAACATGATTCCTTGTAATTTCCCTCCTCTCCCATCCAGTTACTTTCTGTTCTGACATTCCTTGGCTGTGCGTTGCTGCTTCAGTAGTCTGAGCATGCAAAAGCTCAGGCTCGTGTGGAACTCCAGCCTTGGCACTGGGACTCCTGACTTGTGCAAGATCCCAGCAGGATGATTCATGGTTTGATTTGTTAGTGAAATCCTGTTCTGCACTGGGAAGCAGGAGAGGGGAGACGTTAAACTGGACAGCTGTAGGGTTCTGCCTTCATTTCTCTTTTGGTCCAGTGGTCTTTGTGGTCTTCTGATGGTCCTGGCTCCTCTCAGAAGCTGCACTGGTGCATCCTGCAGGCTCAAGGCATTGAAATGCAGGCTGGAGGCTCCTTGCTGCAATGCTTTGGCTTCCCAGAGGAAAGCAGTGCAGGCTAAATCTGCCTGGAGCAGAGCTGCTGGGATTGCTTCCTCACTGGGAAAAGCAGGGAAGGGGGGAAGCTTCCATGTCTGTGCTCTGAGGGCATTTGAGCTCTGGGGTTTGATGGCTTTTGGTGTCCTTTCTTTCCTCTTTCTGTTTCTTTTCCTTTCCCTCTCTCCCCACATCCCGAGTGCTGCAGGCTCCCTGCAGAGGGGTCTCAGTGACTCCCACCTTCATTCCCATTCCCATCTTTATCTCCATTCCCAGTTCATCTCCATTCCCATTCCATCTCCATTCCCATTTCATCTCCATTCCCAATCCATCTCCATTCCCAGTCCATCTCCATTCCCAGTCCATCTCCATTCCCAGTCCATCTCCACTCCCAGTCCATCTCCACTCCCAGTCCATCTCCACTCCCAGTCCAGTCAGACTTCCCCCACATTAGCAGGGAGGGATTCTCTAAAGCAGGCACGATTTTCCTTGAGGTTTTTGCTTTGTCTGGGAGTGTTTTTATTTTCATTTTGTGCTTCCAGGGCTGACTTTTATCCAGCAATTCCGTAGGTGTTGCCACTTCCTCAGGAACCTGTGACTCAGGCCACGTTTAAATGCCATGACATCACCAGCATCCCCCTTGGAAGTGCTGCTTTCCTACACAGGGCTCCAGCCTTTGCTTTTAATGCTCCCAGCTCTGCAGCTCTGCTCTGGGGCTTTTTGTGCCTGAGGAGGGAGGGATGAGGGGGTTTCATCCCTGGAGGCTGCCCTGCCGTTCCCAGGACACACA